TCCATTATTGCTAATTTCGTAATCAATTGTGGAATTGCTGCATGTGGACTGACCTGTTATCATCTTGTCAATTTCAGAATATTGCCCAACAAGAGAAGAAGTAACTCCATCTTGGCCATAAATAACCTGATCATAAATGGTTGCAGTCAAATCAATGAATTGTCTGATTTCTGTTTTCATTGTTTGCAATTGTGAATTATTCGAAACTAAATATGGACTGTTAATGAATTTTCCAGAAGGCAGGGTAAGATAAATGAAGAATTCATTTAATCTAATAGTAACTCTATGAACTGTTCTCAAAAAGACGCTCATCAAATCAACATTGTAAATGGCAGATGATGCAGTTGAAATATTCATTGAAATTTCATAATAAATCAAACCAGAAGACAACATGAATATTACAACTATCAAAATAGCCAGTATTAAAGTAAAATTTTTTGGTTGCAAGAGAGGATTTTTCTTCAAATGTTTGGCATCATCTTTTGTCTTTTCTTCCAATTTGTGATAAATTATTCCAACAAAATCTTTTGGAATTTTCTTGTAAAGAGATGTGATCTTACTGAACCAAGTCATCTCACTCCTTGAAATCAAAATGAAAATAACGTAAATCATCGTCATTACGGAAGAAGAAGCAAAAATATAGCTCGAGAGTATGATATTCAGTTCAAAAGTACTAGCTCTTTCGCTCTCCTGGAATGATCTACAGAATTGGAGATAATTATCGGCTAAATATCTTCTATTCAAGTAGACATACATGAAACTGTAACTTTTTGTTGTTTCATTGTATTGCTTTTCTCCAAAGTTCAAAAATTGTTCAACATGATGCAAGAATTCTTGAGAAACTTCACTCATTGAAACATTCTTTGAGAAGGTATTTACAAATTCAATAGATTTAGGGTCTGTTGTTGAAATTGGAATTAAAATTGGACTTGCTCTCTCTGTAAAGTCAGTATACATGTTACTTGTAAACTTTCCTGATTGTGAATTGGAAATTAATGTTTCCAAATACCCCTTATGCTCCAAATATCTATTCTTGTAATTTTTCAAAAAGTTATTAATTTCGTAATACCTGGTAGAGTTCTGTAACCAAGGTTGTCCTTCATTTGCGTAAACCTCAGTCAAAATTTGATTCATTCTCGTAAATCTCAACAAGGCGCCAGGTGTTGAGCCTGTAATGCAACTCTGCAATACAAGAGGAGTAGAAACAACTTTTTCACTAAATACCATACTTAGCACAAATATTGCAATCATACAAATATGTAATAGCACTGAAAGGCCAAGGAAGATGGATATTTTCAACTTTGATTGAAATGGAGTATTGATGGCAGCTCTGAAAAATGATTCCTTCTTGTCAATACCTTCATTTTCTACTCCTTCAAAATCTGTCTCATTTAATGGATTGTTAGTTGGCTGATTAGAGAATTTTTTCATGCTGAGCGATCCCATAGAATCGAACATGGTTTCTCTTCCAGTAACACTCATATCATCCATTAAATTTGGAGATGATGGAGCTACCTTATTTTTGAATTTCTTTGTTTCATTTGGTTGTAATTTCATTATTGAATACTTTCTTGATCTGGATTCTTCGTCTTCCAACTGGTTAGCTTCTTCAAACAATGAATTCGACAATTCCTTATCAAACTTGAATTCCTCCACATATTTTGCATAGAATCTGATTACTGTCTTGTCATGATTATGAGACTTCATCAAGTTGGAAAAGGATTTTTCACAAAATTTGGATAATACGGTTGCCTTACTATTAATTTGTAAAAGTTTGGTTTCGTTTGGCATTTCATTAAGCATTTCCTTCCAGAATGATCTATGAACAATACGTAATTCTTCCAACTTTTTAGCCACCTCTGTGATTGCATTTCTGACTTCAATATTTGTTTTGGTCACTTCATTCAAATCAATCTCAATTTCTTTTTGTTTTTCTAAAACGATTAACTTCTTGATAGTGTTGGAGGTTCGTTTGTATGCTTTTGCTAGAAGATAACTGGCGAATTGATACTTGTTGTCCTCTTTGCTATTAAAGTTAATAAGCATTCCGGAAATTATCAACATGTCTGCATTGACGAAAGATTTTTGTTGCGAAATAGACTTGACAAAGGATATTGCCAACAACTTATCGTCCAGTGCTATATATTCATCATCCTCCTTATACCCGTTTTGTTCTTTTAGGCAAACAGTAGATTGCAAGAATAGAGTCAAACTTCTGGATGAAACATGCTCACAAAGAGTAAAGATTGAAAGAGCTTCCTTTTCTACTATTGAGTAAAGGTTGATGTCTTGCTTGCTGTTAGTGATTGTGGATTCTGATATCTTTCTTGAAAAGATGTTTCTAATTCGCCTGCAGCACAACCTTGTGTAAATTTCCAAAGCAGTAAAAGCAAGAATGAAAAATAGAATTCCCAATCCAATACTCAATCCCATCATTCCAAGTCCCAAATCACTCAAAAGATTTAAATTGACCAATGAACTAATCAAAAATCCAATACTAACTCCAAATCTTGCACAAACAACTCCAAAATAGAGTGAATTCATCATTCGATGATAAAATGGTAAACTGTAAATGATGAGTGGAATGTTGATAAATGCTCAAAATGAGATGAACTATCGCTCTCCCCATCATGTAATTCGGTGGAATCAAGAATATGATTAACAATTCGAATCCTATCGTGCAAATAGTTGGTGCCAATATAAAGTTATCCTTCGTCACAAAAGGAATTCCAACATTGGGTGTATTGATTGGCAATAAAAACACAGAGAAACTCCAACTCACAAATGTAATCATCATTCCAATCAAACTCATGACAATTAAAATAGTATTTGTTTTAGAATAACATTGAACTGATGGAAATCTTGACAATCCAGAAACACTTGCTGTCTGATCTTCGACATTGATTTGAATATTTGGATTACAATCAACAAAACTGCTCATAATAAATAAGGCAACTGGTCCAATAAACGATACTACTAATGAACAATACATCCCAACCTTGTCAAATATTTTGTAAATTCCTTCACATCTCTTCTTCATTCCAATAATCATCAAGATAATATTCACCAATGAAATCAATGTAAATATGACAGAAAGTGCAATTATTCCCTCATAAGGAATGGCATCTGTTGATAAAGTGAGTGGATAGTTCAATACTCTAAATACCCATCCTCCTTCAAATCCAAACGGTGAAGTATTATATTCATTATTTATGGTACTATTAGATGAAAGTATACTAGAATACTCCTGATGAGAAGTCAATGCAGGTAACCAAATTCCAATCCACAACATGTATAAAAACCATAACGATATAGCCAATCTAGCCAGTCGTATCTTCCAAGGGACTGTTACAGGCAAACCTTCTACATAGCTGCCTTTACTGTTGCTAAACCTTGTGAGGGTGTTCATCCTCATCTTGCTACATAAATACATCATTGATAGATATTCATTAAAGGTTTTGAATAAGGAGCTGGCAAAAGAGGCAGAAGTTATTGAAGAACCACCATCTGATGAAGAGGTGGAAATAGATGATCTTCTGCCTAATGTTGATTCCATTCTTTTCTTGTTGTTGAATAAATTATATTCATGCCAACAGCATTGGCATTGTAGTTTTTGATAGGTTTTGCCAGGAGAAGATGTGAACCACATGTGTTGTATGAAACATGTAATATTTCCAAACTTCGGCCAATCCAAGTAGATATGAGAAGTGATGATGTTTTTGGTTTTAGTACTTTAAAGACATTCAGTGAGATTGAAATACTAAAGCGATGATTCCTTAATGTAATAACTACAAAAGTAATTCGAATCACGATGAAGATTGTTGATCGAATCTATCCAAATGTTCTTGGCACGCCTAATATTTATCAAAATGTCTACTTTGATAAACATCATCATAGTTTGATTGCTTTTAAAACAAATCATGCAGAAATTAGAGCCTTCCGTCGTTCATATGAACTATTTTTGTTACATTTGATCATGAATAATACTAATACTGCTAATCAATTATAATCGAGATCATGTTCACAAAGAACAGTCTCTTCTTCACTTGCCTCCTTCATTGTTATATTTTTTTAATATTTAAATAAATATTGAAAACTTTAAATTTTTTTCAAAAGATAAATTGTGGAAAGTAACGATTTTGATCAATCCCAACAAATTTGTTGCTGTCTTGTAATTCCGAAGCAAAAGAACAAATCATCACACAATATTGAAAGAACAGTAAATTTCAAGAGCGCCAAAATAAAAGATTTTTAAAAAATTTATTGGAGCATCCAACCAGCCATAGCTTCCTTGAATTCTGTTTGATGTTGTTCAAAAGAGATGAAAGTTGTTATTTCATGTGAATGTTGGTTAGGGTAGATAGGAACAATGTGTTAATTTTAAATATGGTGTTAGCAAAGATATTGTACTAGAGCAGTGTAAACTTACCATCAAATGTTATCAATCCATTTTGATCGTCATCAATTTCCTTCATCAATTCC